CTTGATGTTATTTATGTATTTTTATTAATTGGTGGATGTTTTATGTTGCCTTTGGTTTTGATTCACTTTTTACAATTTTTATTTTATTTTTAAGAATTTTTTATTTTTATCTTTTAGGGCCTTTTGTGCACCATACCCTACTTGACCAAGTTTGATTGAGTTACTCCTCGGACCAGGGCTGAGTCATAGTTGTTAGGTTAGTTAAAAAACATTAGAGAAATTTATCAAGATGTACGTAAGAGATGAATTATTTAATGGGTGCAGTTTGTATAGAACATAGGCTCTAAACAATCAAATAAGAGCCTACCTTCAAATAGCATCAAGAAATATCGTTTTAATATTGAAAATCTTTGTGATAGCCTTAAAATATATTTTAATCTTTAATTATAGAATTTAAAGCTTAAAAAATAGTATAAATTGAACAGATCTAAGAAAATATGAAAATCTTGAATATTGACAGTCCAAAAATGCATTACAAGATGCATTATTTTCAAAACTTGAAATCCATTTTTTCCTTATGTCCATGCATCTTGATGTTGAGATATCAATTTAAGGATATTTGGGCATTAAAACAACCAGTGAAATTTTTGAAGTGGGCTCGAATTTTATTGTTTAGAGCCTCGGCTCTACATAAACTTTTTCCTTATTTAATACTTTTCTATTTTTTACTTAATTTCAAAGATCTAATCAAAACACACATGTTTGTGAGTTGACATAGTTGAGATTCTTGAAAAAGAGCAAAATATTAGAACTTGATAAATTAGGCATATTTTCACAAATTTCCATGCTTCTATAATAGAAAATGCTCTCTTTTTCATAATGGGAGGTGGCGTTTTCTCTTGGTTGATAAGTATATAGCACCTCCATTCTTGTTACGAGAAAATAAAAAAAAACTAACAATTGTTTATTTTTCTTGTTATATATTGGAAAACGAAATAGAACGATGCAGCAGTGGGTACAGCAGGAACTCCATTTAACCAATCAGTGGCAGCTCTAGTTGGTGGAGACAAGTCTGCATTCTATCACTGTGGCTTCTACAGCTCTCACAACACACTCTTCGACTACAAGGGTCGTCATTTCTATGAATCTTGCTATATCCAAGGCTCCATTGATTTCATCTTCGGCCGCGGCCAATCCCTCTTCTTGGTATATCGACAAAATTCGAACACATATATGCACAAACACTAATGTTTTGTGCTGCAATTATGTCTTGAATTCTATCGTGTAATTTAGTATCTGTGGTGGCATGTGCAGAGCAATGAAGTGTTTGTTCTTGCTGAGAAGCGGTCGAAGATCCATGGATCCATAACATCTCAAAATCGACAAGGCCCAGATGAGACTAGTGGTTTTGTTTTCCTAAAAGGCAGGGTTTACGGGGTCGGATATGTTTACTTAGGCCGTGTAAGAAGCGCGCATGCGAGGGTTATTTTTGCTAAGACTTATCTCTCCAAAACAATTGTACCAGAGGGATGGAGCAGTTGGAGCTTTGATGGAAGTCCAAACCCAGAGTATGTATTCCTATCCCTCCCCTTGTGTATTGATAGAACTCTATTTATTCTACATAATCAATTGTTTTTCGTTGTTTTACCTTTTATCTTTGAATTTAATCTTGATATTTGATTGAGGATTACAAATATAGTATTTATGTTTCCTTTGAAATTCAGAGAGTCAATATACCATTTCCTTTCTTACCCTCTTAATCATCATCCTCTGCAAGTTAAGAGGAATTCATTGTTTATGGCAATATAGGTTTGGGCTTTCAATTCTATTTTATCAACCCTGAAAATTGCTTACAGATGTACAAGAATAATTAATAGAAATATGGAAAACATTTTTGTATTAGAAATTTATTCTTCCTTTTATGAGTTTACTGATATTTGTTATTTTTCAGCTAGTAAAAATTAAAATTTTATTCTAATGTTTTAGACTATCTTTTAGGTATTTCATTAGTTGGCACAGATGAACATATTTACTTTCTTTTTTGGGAAAATTAATCAAATCTGTACTATTGTAGCAAATTGCTGTATGGTGAATACAAATGCCATGGGCCTGGCTCCGACCGCACCTTCAGAGCTACATGGTCGAGGCAGCTGAATGACACAGAGGTCGCTCCTTTTCTGGGCATCAAATTCATTAATGGCAAAGAATGGTTGCCTATTTACTAGTATTTTTTTCTTCTGCTTTCTTGATGTGCAGCTTGAAATTGACCTAATATCTTGTTTTCATTAAAAGAATATTTTTATATTTAATCATGGATTTCATAAATGATTGGATGTTCCCTTATATTTTTGTGATTGATCAAAGGACCAATTTCAAGGCAATTACATATCTACAATTTGTTGTGCCACATTGGAGCATAAGGACACTATTGTGCTACTGTTGTTACTCTGATATATATATATATATATATATATATGAAAAATTCTTAAGAATGTCCATAGGATAATTGCTACAGTGTTTCACTCACGGACCTACGGGAGCCGTGGCAGTCCATGTACAGTTTTTGTATGAAAAAAATCCTGTCACAGACTTGCTATATCCGTGACGGACCGCAACAGACATGCTATGTCAGTGACGGTCTTTAATCCACGCCGTTTGAAAAAATCGGACAGCACCGAGTCTATGGGCAAAAATACTGTTCATTTTCGCTCATAGGTGTTTTGCGGGAAAAGTCTTAAAGACATCTATAAGCTAATTGCGACAGTGTTTTCGCCCTGTCACGGACATGCTATGTCTGTGATGGTTTTGCCTAGAAACGGCCATGGACCTATGGGAGCCGTGGCGGTCCCCATCTATTTTTTGCATCAAATTTGTGTGAAAAATATTCTTGCCACGAACATGCTATATCCATGACAAACCACCATGGATATGCTATGTCCATGACGATCTTTAATCCACGCTGTCCGAAAAAATTGGACGGCGCCGAGCCGTTGGGCGAAAATACTGTTTATTTTCACTCATAGGCATTTTGTACAATAAGACCATTTGTCTTTGGTCTAGGGAGGTCACAACTAGTTACAACCATCCGATATGAAATCTGATAGTTGAGTGTGTTTCAAAGTTCGAGAAAATTTCTTTTGAACTATAAGTTTGATAAATACAACCACCTAATTTCACATCCAATGGTTGCTATTAATTGTGACCACCTTGTACAAAAGGTAAATGGTCTCA